AAAAAAACCCCAAAAAATCCCAAAAAAAATCCCCAAAAAAATCCCAGAAAATTCATTTTGGGACCCCCAAAATCCCAAAAAAAAATCCCAAAAAAAATCCCAAAAAATTCATTTTGGGAGCCTCTCAAATCCCACAAAAATCCCAAAAAATCCCAAAAAAAATCCCCAAAAATTTCACTTTGGGAGCTCCCCAAAATCCCCCCAAAAATCCCCAAAAATCCCCAAAAAATCCCTTTAAAAATCCAAAAAAAATCCCTTTAAAACCCCCAAAAAATCCTAAAAAAATCCCAAAAAATCCCCAAAAAATCCCTTTAAAAATCCCACAAAAATCCCACAAAAATCCCTTTAAAACCCCCCAAAAATCCTAAAAAAATCCCCAAAAAATCCCTTTAAAAATCCCAAAAAAATTCCTTTAAAACCCCCCAAAAAATCCCAAAATTATCCCCCAAAAATCCCAAAAAATCCCCCAAAAATCCCCCAAAAATCCCAAAAAATCCCTTTAAAAATCCCCAAAAAAATCCAAAAAAATCCCTTTAAAAATACCTGGGGTCCCCCAAAATTTCCCAAAAATCCCCCAAATCCCCAAAATCCCCCAAATTCCCCAAATTCCCCAAAATTCCCCCAAAATTCCCTCCTCACCCCTCCAATTTGAGGCCGACGTGGAGCTCGTCCTGGCAGGAATTATCGGGGCCGCAGTCGTGCTCGAACGGGAGCTGGGAGAGAATTTTGGGGCATTTTTGGGGCTTTTGATGATTTTTAATAAATTTGGGAATTTGAAATATTTTTGGGGAATTTTTTTGGATTTTTTTTTTTTGGAATTTTTAAGGATTTTTTAGGGATTTTTTTTTTTTTGTATTTTTGGGGAAATTTTTGCTCATTTTTTGTTAGGGATTTGCTCATTTTTGGGTCATTTTTGGGTCATTTTTTGGGTCGTTTTGGGGTCATTTTTAGCCCATTTTTGGCCCATTTTTGGGTGTATTTTGGGTGATTTTTGGTTGATTTTTGTGTAATTTTTAGGTGATTTCTGGGTGATTTTTGGTCATTTTTTGGCCCATTTTTGGGTGTATTTTGGGTGATTTTTGTGTAATTTTTAGGTGATTTTTGGGTGATTTTTGGCCCCTTTTGGGTCATTTTTTTGGCCCCTTTTGGGTGATTTTTGGCCCATTTTGGGTCATTTTTGGGGTGATTTTTGGGTAATTTTTGGGAGATTTTTGGCCCATTTTGGGTCATTTTTGGCCCATTTTGGGTCATTTTTGGGGTAATTTTTAGGTGATTTTTGGGTGATTTTCGGGTGATTTTTGGGTGATTTTTGGCCCATTTTTGGGTGATTTTTGTCCCATTTTTGGGTGATTTTTGGCCCATTTTAGGTCATTTTTTGGGTAACTTTTGGGTGATTTTTGGGTGATTTTTGGGTGATTTTTGTCCCATTTTTGGGTGATTTTTGGGTGATTTTTGGTGATTTTTGGCGGATTTTTGGGTGATTTTTGGCCCATTTTGGGTGATTTTTGGGTGATTTTTGGGTGATTTTTGGCCCATTTTGGGTGATTTTTGGGTGATTTTTGGGTGATTTTTGGCCCATTTTGGGTGATTTTTGGGTGATTTTTGGGTGATTTTTGGGTGATTTTTGGCCCATTTTTGGGTGATTTTTGGCCCATTTTGGGTGATTTTTGGGTGATTTTTGGGTGATTTTTGGGTGATTTTTGTCCCATTTTTGGGTGATTTTTGGCCCATTTTGGGTGATTTTTGGGTGATTTTTGGGTGATTTTTGGTTGATTTTTGGGGTGATTTTTGGGTGATTTTTGGGTGATTTTTGGTTGATTTTTGGGGTGATTTTTGGGTGATTTTGGCCCATTTTGGGTCACTTTCTGCGCTCACTCACCGAGGCCGTCACGGCCGTGTCCGAGTCGGGTCCGAGCTGTGGCCGGAGCCCTCCGGCCGCTTCCAGAGGCTCCCCGAGACCGCTGAGGGTCACCCGAAGGGTCAGAGGGGTCAGCGTGTCCTGGGGGCAGCCCTGGAATCCCAAAAATTCCCCAAAATTCCCAAAAAATCCCAAAAAATCCCAAAAATTCCCACAAAAAACCCAAATTTCCACAAATTTCCATCAATTTCCATCAAAATTCCACCCAAATATCCCAAAATCCCCCCAAATTCCCAAAAATTCCCCAAAATAATCCCAAAAAATTCCACCAAAATTCCAAAAAATTCCCCCAAAATTCCCCAAAATCCCTAAAAATTCCCCCAAAATTCCCAAAACATTCCCCAAAATCCCCAAAATTCCCAAAAAATTCCCAAAAAATTCCCCCCCAAATTCCGAAAAAACGAAAAAAGTTCCCCCCAAACTCCCCCAAAATTCCCCCCCAAAAATCCCAAAAATTCCCCAAAAAATTCCACCCAAAATTCCCAAAAAATTCCCCCAAAAATTCCCAAAAATCCCCCAAAATTCCCCCAAAATCTCCCCCCAAAATCCCCAAAAAATTCCCCAAAAATTCCCCCCATAATTCCCAAAAAATTCCCCAAAAATTCCCAAAAAATTCCCAAAAATCCAAAAAAATTCCCCAAAATTTTCCCCCAAAATTCCCAAAAATTCCCCAAAATTCCACCCAAAATTCCCCAAAAATTCCACCCAAAAATTCCACCCAAAATTCCCAAAAAATTCCCAAAAAATTCCCCCCAAAAATTCCCAAAAAATTCCGCAAAAATTCCCCCAAAAATTCCCAAAATTCCCAAATTTCCCCCCAACCTTGGAGAAGATCTCGAGGCTGCGGCAGCTCCGCCCCTCCCCCATCCGGAGGCTCCCGTTCTGGAAGGTTCCGGAAGCGAAGATTCCGCGGCTCCGGAGCCTCCCGGGATCGAGCTCGGCCCGGAAGCGGAGAGAGAGAGAGAGCTCGGAACCTGCGGCGGGAATTCGGGAATTCGGGAATTCGGGGGGATTTGGGGGGATTTGGGGGGATTTTTGGGAATTTTTTGGGGATTTTTGGGGAATTTTTGGGAATTTTTGGGGAATTTTTTTGGAATTTTTGGGGATTTTTGGGAATTTTTGGGAATTTTGGGGGAATTTTGGGAATTTTTGGGGAATTTTTGGGAAATTTTTGGGGATTTTTGGGAATTTTTTGGGAATTTTAAGGGGATTTTTGGGAATTTGGGATGAATTTTGGGGGATTTTGGGGATTTTGGGGAATTTTTGGGAATTTTTGGGGAATTTTTTGGGAATTTTTGGGGATTTTTGGGAATTTTTTGGGAATTTTAAGGCGATTTTGGGGAATTTGGGAGGAATTTTTGGGGATTTTTGGGGATTTTTGGGAATTTTTTGGGAGTTTTAAGGGGATTTTTGGGAATTTGGGAGGAATTCTGGGGCATTTTTGGGAATTTTTGGGAAATTTTGGGGGATTTTGGGGAATTTTTGGGAATTTTTGGGCGATTGTTGGGAATTTTTGGGAAATTTGGGGGGATTTTGGGGATTTTTTTGGGAATTTTTGGGAATTTTTGGGAAATTTTGGGGGATTTTGGGAGAATTTGGGGAATTTGGGGAATTTTGGGGGATTTTTGGGAATTTTGGGGAATTTTTGGGAATTTCTGGGGAATTTTGGGGGATTTTGGGGAATTTTTGGGGAATTTTGGGGGATTTTTGGGAGTTTTTGGGAATTTTTGGGGAATTTTGGGGGATTTTTGGGGGAATTTTTGGGGAATTTTGGGGGATTTTTGGGAGTTTTTGGGAATTTTTGGGGAATTTTGGGGGATTTTTTGGGAATTTTGGGGAAATTTTGGGAATTTTGGGGGAATTTTGGGGGATTTTTGGGATTTCTGGGGTTGGGAATTTTGGGATTTTTGGGGAATTTTGGGGGATTTTTGGGGGATTTTTTGGGATTTTTGGGAATTCCAGGAATTCCGGGAATTGCGTCTCTCACCGAAGGTGTCGCGGCTGCGTTTGGCGCAGGTGAAGCAGAGCCGCGCCCGCGCCAGGTGAGCCCGAGGCTCCTCCCCCCCCTCGGGACACTCGGAAACGGCCGCAGGAATCACCTGGGGCTCGAAGGTGAGCGAGAGACGCACCTGGAGCAGGGGCGGGGACCTGGGGACACAGCTGGGGTCACACCTGGACACACCTGGGGACACCTGGGGACACCTGAGATACACCTGGGGACACCTGGGGACACCTGGACACACCTGGGGACACCTGGACACACCTGGGGTCACACCTGGACACACCTGAGATACACCTGGGCACACCTGGGGACACCTGGAGGGGTAACAGGTGAATTTTGGGCATTTCCAAGTGAATTTTGGGCGTTTCCAGGTGAATTTTGGGTGAATTTTGGGCGTTTCCAGGTGAATTTTGGGCGTTTCTGGGTGTTTCCAGGTGTGTTTGGGGTTACCTGTACTCACCTGAGCAGCAGCACCTGTCCCCACGGGGGTTTGGGGTGACTCAGGTGAGTTTTGGGTGAATTTTGGGCGTTTCCAGGTGAATTTTGGGCGTTTCCAGGTGAATTTTGGGCGTTTCCAGGTGAATTTTGGGTGTTTCCGGGTGTTTCCAGGTGAATTTTGGGTGAATTTTGGGCGTTTCCAGGTGAATTTTGGGCGTTTCCGGGTGTTTCCAGGTGTGTTTGGGGTTACCTGCACTCACCTGAGCAGCAGCACCTGTCCCCACGCCCCCACGGCCAGGTCGGGCAGGTGATCCCCGCTCAGGTCGCGGCCGCCGCTCAGGGATTGGCCGAAAAATTTGGGCTGGGACGGGAACCTGGAGCCCGGAATGCGCTGGAACAGGTGAGAGAGACAGGTGAGAGACAGGTGAGATGGGACAGGTGAGACAGGTGAGACAGGTGAGATGGGACAGGTGAGAGACAGGTGAGAGACAGGTGAGAGACAGGTGAGATGGGACAGGTGAGACAGGTGAGATGGGACAGGTGAGATGGGACAGGTTGGAAAGGTGAGATGGGACAGGTGAGACAGGTGAGATGGGACAGGTGAGATGGGACAGGTGAGATGGGACAGGTGAGGTCACACAGGTGGGACAGGTGAGATGGGACAGGTGAGACATGGACAGGTGAGACAGGTGAGATGGGACAGGTGAGACAGGTGAGGTCACACAGGGGAGAGAGACAGGGGAGGTCACACAGGTGGGACAGGTGAGATGGGACAGGTGAGACAGGTGAGGTCACACAGGTGGGACAGGTGAGACCCTTCCCCCACCCAGGTGAGCTCTCACCTGTCCCAGGTGTTCCCCAGGTACCCACCAGGTGTTCCCCAGGTGTTCCCCAGGTGTCCCTCACCTGTCCCAGGTGTTCCCCAGGTGTTCCCCAGCTGTCCCCAGCTGTCCCCAGGTGTCCCTCACCTGTCCAGGTGTGTCTCACCTGTCCGCCCTCCGCGCTGACCCCTCCAGGTGTGCCCCTGAACAGGTAAACGGCGCCGCTCCCGTCGTCCTCCAGGGGAGCCCCCACGGCCACCTCGGGCCACCTGTCCCCGTCCAGGTCGCCCAGGTGAGCCAGGCTGGCCCCGAAACGGCCCAGGGGCTGCCCAGGTGAGCCCCGCAGGGACAGGTGACAGCGCAGGTGAGAGCCCTGGGGACAGGGGGGACAGGTGAGATAGGACAGGTGAGGTTGGACAGGTGAGATGGACAGGTGAGATGGGACAGGTGAGGGGACAGGTGAGATGGGACAGGTGAGGTGGGACAGGTGAGGGGACAGGTGAGATGGGACAGGTGAGGTGGGATGGATGGGATTGGTCAGGTGAGGTGGGACAGGTGAGGTCACACAGGTGGGACAGGTGAGGTGAGATGGGTGGGACATGGACAGGTGAGGGCTCTGGGGATGGACAGGTGAGATCCAGGTGAGGTGGGACAGGTGAGAGAGGACAGGTGAGAGGGGACAGGTGAGACAGGTGAGGATTCTGAGGAGGGACAGGTGAGGTGGGACAGGTGAGGTGGGATAGGTGGGATGGGACAGGTGAGGTCATACAGGTGGGACAGGTGGGGTGGGATAGGCAGGACAGGTGAGACAGGTGAGGGACATCTGAGACCCCCCAGGTGTCCCTCACCTGTCCAGGTGTGTCTCACCTGCAGCTCGCACAGCTCCACTCGGCCGCCGCTGCCCCCCCCGTAGAACAGGGGCGCCCCCACCAGGATCCGCAGGGGCTCACCTGGGCCGGGCTCACCTGGGCCGGGCTCACCTGGGCGGGGCTTACCTGGGCCGGGCTCACCTGGGCGGGGCTCACCTGGGCCGGGCTCACCTGGGCCGGGCTCCAGGGCCAGGAGCGACGCCCCGAAATAGGAGCCCACCTGGGGAGGGGGGGGAGAGACAGGTGAGACCCCCCCCAGGTGAGACAGGTGACCTCAGGTGACCTCACCTGTGACAGGTGAGACCCCCAGGTGACCCCAGGTGACCCCAGGTGACCCCAGGTGACCCCAGGTGACCTCACCTGCCGGCCGGTGGCCTGGGCCTGCAGTGTCCAGCTGTGGCCGGAGCGGAGGACGATGACCCTGCCCAGGTGACCCCACCTGGGCGCACCCAGGGCCAGGCCCCAGGTGTGACCCCAACGCACGGCCACGGCCGAGTACCCTGCGGACAGAGAGTGACCACTGAGTGACCACTGAGTGACCACTGAGTGACCACAGTGACCACTGAGTGACCACTGAGTGACCACTGAGACCACTGAGTGGCCCTGAGTGACCACAGTGACCACTAAGTGACCATGACTGACCACTGAGTGACCACTGAGTGACCACAGTGACCACTGAGTGACCACTGAGTGACCACAGTGACCACTGAGTGACCACTGAGTGGCCAGTGATGGTCAGTGATGGTCAGTGAGTGACCACTGAGTGACCACTGAGTGACCACTGAGTGACCACAGTGACCACTGACCACTGAGTGACCACTGAGTGACGATGAGTGACCACTGAGTGACCACTGAGTGACCAGTGAGTGACCACTGAGTGACCACTGAGTGACCACAGTGACCACTGACCACTGAGTGACCACTGAGTGACCATGAGTGACCACTGAGTGACCACTGAGTGACCACAGTGACCATTGACCACTGAGTGACCAGTGAGTGACCAGTGATGGTCAGTGGTCAGTGAGGGTGAATTCCCCCCCCCCAGGTGTGAATTTTGGACCGTTCCAGGTGAGCTTACCCAGGTAAGCGTCCCTCATGTCCCCCGCGCCGTCCAGGTGTGCTCCAGGTGTGCCCAGGTGTCCCCCAGGTGTGCCCAGGTGTCCCCCAGGTGTGCCCAGGTGTGGCCCGGAGCCGTTGAGGAAGGTGGCCGCCCCTCCCCCGCCGTGGACCAAAACCCCTCCGGACCAATCGAAGGCGCCGACGGCTCCCAGGGCTGGACCGGCCTGGAGGGGGTCAAAGGTCAAAGGTCAGAGGGGTCAAAGGTCAAAGGTCAGAGGGGTCAAAGGTCAAAGGTCAGAGGGGTCAAAGGTCAGAGGGGTCAAAGGTCAAAGGTCTGGGGTCAGTGGGGTCAGAGGTCAAAGGGGTCAGGGGTCA